TCCCCGCCCAGCTGGGCCGGCTCTTCTACTGCCGCCATATCTCCTTGTCCCGCCCAGTCTTATTTTTAGACCCGGACTAATATCGCTGTCCTCCTTGTCTCTCCCTCAGCCCAAGGGAGGAAATGGGGGCCTCTCCCTTTGGGCCTAGCATGTTGCTCCAAGCAACCAGGCCCAAACAGCCTTGCGGCCGGCCCTGGCTTCCATATCTGTCATCGGAACAGGGCTGAGGAGAGTGACTCAGCGGGCGGGTCAGCACCTGGCCCTGTGCCCATCCAGCCCCTTTGCTGAGCTGGGCGCCTTTCTTCCCTCAGAGCAGCACCCAGAGTCCTGGCCTGCAGAGACCCATCCCTGTCCCAACACCGCAGCCTTACAGAGCCCCAAGCTTCTGGCCACTCACTCCTTCATGCTCTCATTGCTCCCATATACTCTTTCTTGCTCCTGGCTTCAGTCTCCTCCCAAGCCCCAATCTCTTTCTCTTTTTCTGAGATCTGATTTGCCAGCTGTGGGAAGGATGTCTAGTTCCTCTTCTTTCCTCACAAGACTGCTCAGACGAAGCTACTCCTGGGCTTGGAGAAGTTGGCACATGCACAGGAAAGAGCTGGCTACTCCCACCGCCATGGCACCAGTGCTGGGGCAGGATGTGGGCAAAGCCAGGGTCTCCCCTGTGAACACTAGAGGATTTCCCGACCCTTACCCGGGTATTGTCTTCCTGAGGATGAGTCACCTGAGAAGCCCCTGGTTCCCACCCTTCCTTGCTCCCTTTGCTGGCCTCACCCTATCCTCCCTGCCAACACAGTGGGGACAGCAGTCAGCACGTGTTCGGTTTTGCTGCCTGCACGGGTAGCACCACCACCCTGCAGCTGGCTGGCGTCTGCTTTGAGGCCCTGCTAGGTCTAAGGACCCCAACTAGGGAGGAAGCAGTGTAGTTGGTGGGGAGACAAGGCTGGAGGAGGTAGGAGAGCCTCTGGGCTCTTGCTCTGCTGCCCCATCCAGCTCTCAGGAAGGATGCTTGTGGCTCCCTGGTCACAGGGCTCCGAGGTCTGAGTCATGAGACCTTGGTGATAGTGACTTTCTCCTCAAAGATGGGAGCTCTCATGCCAAGCTGAAAAAACCCTCAGAGGCCTTTGCTCTGCTTCCCTCATCTGCAGGGTATTCCTTCAGTCACTCCCTTTCTAAGTGCTAGTCAGACTCTCAAAGAGGGAAAGGACGATAGCACAGTCTCCTAACATCTTAAACCAGTTGCCTTTCAAGTTGATTCAGATTCAGGGTGACTTCATGTGTCTCAGAATAGAACTGTAGTTTTCAATGGCTACTGAAAATATTTTGGAAGTAGGTTGCCAGCCATTTCTTCCAAGATTGGGCTTAAATCTCCTGTCTGTCATTAGTTGTAAATTGCATTATCCATTTGCACCACCACCGACTCCCTTAATTTCTTTAGGAGGCAAGATATTGGAGCACGTGTTGAAGCAGTAGAGTATTGACTTCCCACTCTATTGTTTATTAGTTTTGGGACCCTGATCATTGTTCTTTTAATTTATTTTCTATTGGTTTGCTTACAAAGTTCATACACATTGTGTTTCACACAATTCTTCATTCACATTATGTTTCACACATTCATTCCCATCTTTTATAAAATTAATCATCGGACCATGCCTATCATTACCCTGTCCTTTCAGATCCCCGCTGGATCCTTTCCATTTCCTCAGGTGGCCTAGTGGTAAGAAGCTGAGCTGCAATTCCAAAGGCATGCAGATCAGATCTACCAGCTGCAGGAGAAGGATGGGCATTCTCCTCCCTTGCAATTTATTGCCTTTAAAAACCTGCTGAAGGCTCATCTATGAGTTGGTTCTGACTTGAGGGCAAACACTAACAAGCACCTAGTAATAATCTTATCTCACCTGGCAATTGTAAAGATTAAATGAGTTAACATAATAACAGTATATAGTACATTAGATGCATAATATGCTTTATACACATGCTTGCTGCTGTCATTATCACTATTAATTACCCCCTATCACTGTCACCTCGGGAGCAGTTGTTGATATGTGACTGTCAAATCAGGAGCAACTCATAGTTGACCCTCCAGTGGGTTTTCATAGGCAGTAAATCTCATGGGAGGAGACTCTGCCCATCTTTCTCCTTTGGGAGCAGTAGGAAGGAAAAAGTTAGATGAAAAACAAAGTCCTGTACTTGTCAGATTAGAAGTCCTGAATGGTAAAAACATTTAATACACTTGGCTGATAACTGAAAGCACCCCAGCGATGCCTTAAAGGCAGGCTTGGTAATCCACTCCCAAAAAACCAGCCACAGAAGTTCTGTGGAGCACTTAACTCTCATGGGACTGCTATGACTTGGACTCAACTCTACAGCAACTTTCGCCTCCGTTCTCCCCCTCCTTCCTTTTTTTTAAAAAAAAACATAGTAAGCGCCCCAAGGACAGGTACCATGCACCTATTTTCTCAGCAGCATCTTGAACATGCACCTCTCCTTTCTTTAAGATGTCTCTATCTGGCACTGACATGGAACGGGTGTTACTACCAAGGAAAACTCCAGAAATTCTTCTTCTGATTATCTAAGGAGGCAGGACTAGAAAAGAGATGCCCTTGAGATGTTTTGAAGGTTGCTCCGTCCTGTTTCTCCTAGTCCAGGCTGGCTGTCAGGAGAACTGAGGCCACAGTCTGCCCTCTTCCTCTCTGCTTCTCCAGTCTCTTCAGACTTTGTGGCTTAGGAGGCAATGAGGTGGAGGAGGAGCCCTAGATAGGCAGCCAGAATGGACTGTAATCCTGTCCCGCTGCTGGCTGGCAGTGTGAGACACAGAGCCTGTTCACCTGTCTCCCCTGGGCCTCAATTTTCTCATCTGTAAAAGAAGAGAGTTAAGCTGAGATGACTTTAAACTCCAGTTCTCTAAATCCAGAGCACCCACGGTCTTCCCTGCCTCAGCTGCAGCCGTTTGCCTTCAGGGCGGAGAGGCCTCTTCTGGGAAGCCTCTGCCAGCCTTGGAGTCTGCCCAAGGAGCTCGGAATCTTAGTCTGTGCTGCGCTTCACTTTACCAGTGGTTTTCTTCATTTTCTCTCCTCCCCCTGCCTCAGCTTCGGAAAAGTTCTGAAGTCATGGAAAGTTGGTCTGTGCTCCCAGCCAGGGACTGGTCCGGATGGCAGCCAAAACTTGAGCCGGGTTTTGACTTTATTTTTAGCTTTTCTGGCTGAGACAGAGGAGGGGAGAGACACTCTCCATTTCTGGAAGGTCCTTTTTTTACAGACCAGGAACACTGTTGCATTAAACAACTTGTTCTGAGTTGTGGCCAGAGGGCTGAACGGAACACCAGGAAGGAGGGGGCCACCTGGTCTTCACATGCTTCCCCTGCCCCTCTGGGTGTGGACCTGTCCCCTCCCAGCCCAGTGGGCTCTCCTAAGCTTAAGGGAGGGGACATTGCCTTGCCCCACCCCTCCCTCCAGTGTCTCTCCAAGTCTAGCCTTGTTCTGTCTCCTGTCAGGGTGAATTGTTAGGTCTTTGAAAGTTTAGAGTTTTGGGGCAGGAGAAAAATTTTGGCAGAGCTACTGCTCTTCTCTCTTCCAGGATTTTTTCCCCCTGCCCACGTTTGGTTTTTCTGTTTCCATCTGCTTCAGTAAGCTCATGCTGGAGCACTGATGAGTTGCAGATGGCATCAGGGACTAGGCTTCTTGGATCTTCCCTTTCACACCCTGAATCTCCTGCATCCTCTCATCCTCTATTCATGAAGGGATCATCTGGAAAGTTCTCTAGTACCTGGAAGTGTTTCAAGACTCTGGAACCAGTTGGCTCCCTAGGATTTTCAATGGTTGACTATTTGAAAGTAGTTGACCAGGCCTGTCTTTCCAGAGCTCCTGGGCAGACTCAGTCCTTTAACCTTTAGGTTCTCAGCCATGCATGTTAACCATGTACCTCATCCAGCGGACTCCTTTTTAAGGAAATAAGACTCCTCAACTTTTCCAGTTAGGTATCCGGCCAAAACAGTCAAGGGTCCTGCAAGGGCAGAGAGGTGGCAGGGGCAGCCTCTGTGCTACTGGTTCTCGCTTAACTTAGTTTGCCTAGCAGGAATGCTCAGGACTGGAGCCCACAAGGGCCTGGAGGCCTGAGAGTCACATCTGGAACCAGATGTTGAGTTGTCAAAGGGTGGGGCTCAGCATGCTCTTCGGAGGTCTGATGAGGACCAGAGGAGGGAGGATACAACTGTCTGCCGCTTCCAGACCAGAGAATTTTGAGGGGTTCTGAAAAAGGGAAGATCATTCTTGTCCCAACTCTCCAGAGCTCTAACCCTCCACAGTCTCAGGTGTTGGAAAAAGGACCTGAACAAAGTCCCAACACCTTTTGGGCTCCTGCTAAAAGTGTTAGGGATACCAGGGTCCCAGGGCTAGGAGCCTGGCTGTCTGGGTCCCTGCTGGGAGGGAGGCTTGGGTGAATGGAAGGTGGGTGGTGCCCAGGGAAGAGCCCTAAAGGCCTTGTGTAGGAAGGGGTAGGAGACAAAGGTGTCCCTGTCTCTTTGGGAAGAGTTGGGAGGGGTAAGAGGAAAAGCATTCATATCATGGGATCAAGCTTTGCCCTTAGCCCTAGGCACGTTCCTGAGCTCTGAGTCACAGGAAGGGTGGAAAAGAAGGAAGGGGGTTTAGGGGACCTTGGGGAGGTGGGAACCAGGCCCCAGAGACTGGCAGATGCAAGCAGACCTAAAGCCAGAGACGCCCTCTGCTGGTGGTTGGGGAATAACATAACAGCCCCTCTGCAGCTTCTCCCTCCCTATTGAGGAGAGTTTAGGGAGCTCTGGTGGCCTAGTGGTAAGAAGCTGCACTGCAATCTCAAAAGTATAATTTAAATCCACCAGTTGGATTCCAGTCTCCTCCCATGCGATTAACTGCCTCTGAAAACTGGCTGGAGGGTCAGTTATGGGTCGGTTCCAACTCGACAGTATACAACAATAGCTAGGGTTGTGGATTCCTCTCAAACCCACTCTTCCGTGTTTTCATTAGCAATACCAAGAAGGAGGGTGACTTGCTGTCCGCCCAGGCCCGCCTCAAGGACCTGGAGGCTCTGCTTAACTCCAAGGAGGCCGCCCTGAGCACTGCCCTCAGCGAGAAGCGAACGCTGGAGAGTGAGCTGCATGACCTGCGGGGGCAAGTGGCCAAGGTGAGACCACCTGCTGGCCCGTGTGACCCCAGCTGACACCGCAAACATATACAGACTCATTCTTCCATCCAGCCCACCCTCCAGGAACCCATCGGTGGTACCAGAGCTATTCCCTGTCATTTCATTCATCCAGAACATAAGGCTCTATTTGACTGCCTACAGTATCTGGCACAGGAAATTAATAATAATCCATGGCCATCATTTCCATATCATGTCGTAATGAACTGTACTTGGTCCTGAGTCACTCTGATTTGACTGTCCCGTAAACGGCACCTGACCCCTGGGGAGGAAAGGCGATGAACTATAGACCATCCACAGAGACCACAATTGGCGCTGATGGTTAATTACATACGAGATTAATTTTAATAATGCCAAAATAATAAAAAAAAATTTAATAATGCCTTGTAATGTTTATACTGGCTTTTACTTTCAAAAAACTTTGCTATCTTTTCTCTCCTCTAATTTCTCATGTGATAAGCAATGGAAGAGATGCAAAGGAACTGGCTAGTTTCCAGTTTCACAGCCTCATTTGCTCAGAGCAAGGCCAGGACTAGAACCAGCTGTTCAGCTTCCAGCCTGGGCTTTCCCTGGCCAGGGCCTGATATAAACCCTAAGCTGGGCTATTCTTCTTCTGAGCCTTGTGCTCCAGCTGTACCTCTTTACCTAGCCTCTCCCAGCTGTATTGGCCAGCCTATGCTTTCTAAAATGAAAATCTTAGCAAGATGCTCCCCAGCTCAGAATTCTTCAGAGGTTCAATTTGTAGCCAATAAGAGAATCTCTTTATGAACCAGTCCCTTGCCAGCCAGTCAGCTGGCCACCTCTCCCATCACTCTCCCCGCCTGTACTCAAGGCTTCAGCAGTACTGATCTTCTGGAGATCCCAGAGCATGTGTGTGCCCTCAAACCTCAGCACCTCTACACATATTCTTCCCTGCCCCTCCTCACCCCCAGCCTACAGGGCAGTGCCCACTGGCCCATCTTTGGGGTTTTAGCCTCTTAGAGTTCTTCCCCAGCTCCCTTCTCACAAGGCACACTTTGGTTTCTTCCCACATGTTTCCTTTATACTTTGCACAGACCTACTGGATTGTGATGCTGTGCTAGGAGGGGTTGGCTCTCGCGGTGGAGGGGAGAATGGGGATACATCTTTCTTTTCTCAGCGTAGTTCCCATCCAGTGTGGTCATTAAGAGTGCATGGATGTCATGACTTCAGTGGCCATCTGAGGTCCCCAGCTCTAACCTCTGCTCCGTTCCTCTTAGCTCGAGGCAGCTTTGGGTGAGGCCAAGAAGCAACTTCAGGATGAGATGCTGCGGCGGGTGGATGCTGAGAACAGGCTGCAGACCCTGAAGGAGGAACTGGACTTCCAGAAGAACATCTACAGTGAGGTGAGGACCGAGGGTGTGGCAGGGGCCCAGCTGTGTGCAGAGCTCACCTGTACACATTCTCATGGGTTGGGGTGGGCGTCGGTTGATATCCAGCTCCAAGCTCAAAGGGGCTGATCATGGTCTGTGGAGTAAACTCCAGCTGGGACTCTCCATCCAAAGAACTAGCACTGATCTCAGTTTCTGTGTCTTTGCCTCAACTCCCTTAGGAGCTGCGTGAAACCAAGCGCCGCCACGAGACCCGGCTGGTGGAGATCGATAATGGGAAGCAGCGTGAATTTGAGAGCCGGCTGGCGGACGCTCTGCAGGAGCTGCGGGCCCAGCACGAGGAACAGGTGGAACAGTACAAGAAGGAGCTAGAGAAGACCTATTCTGCCAAGGTGGGTGCTCCTCTGGTTCCATCATATTTCCGTCCGTGGGGGCCCTGCCTCTGCCCACACTGAGAAGTTGGGGTTCTCAGGCTGGCCCAGGACCTGAGGCTGCATCCCTTCCAGTCTAACCCAGCATCCTTCCTTCCAGCTGGATAACGCCAGGCAGTCTGCCGAGAGGAACAGCAACCTGGTGGGAGCGGCCCACGAGGAGCTGCAGCAGTCCCGAATCCGCATTGACAGCCTCTCCGCGCAGCTCAGCCAGCTGCAGAAGCAGGTGAGGCCTCACCAGCCAACGTCTAAGCAGGGTGTAGGGGGGAAGCTCACAGGGGCTGGCTGAGGAGGGGAGGGTAGAAGTGAAGGGCAGAACATGCTCCACAGACCAAGAGAAGGGGCCCAGGATTTGGAGTCAGATGACCTGACCCTCACCTCTCAGAGCCTTGGTTACCTCAGTGGACAGTAGAGACCATCTTTCTTGTCCTTAACTCACAGATCTGCCATGAGACTCTCAAGAGTCAAAGTGTAAAGTTTCAAGAAATGCAGGGAGTCCCTGGAAAGTGCAGATGGTTAGCATGTTCAGGCACTGAACACAGGTGGGAGATTTCGCTCTACCCAAATGCACCTTGGGAGAAAAGTCCTGTGATCACCTTTAGGGGGGTAGGAAATCAGCCATTGAGAACTCTGTGGAGCACAGTTCTACAAGGACACGCATGGGATTACAGACACACATGGGGTTATCAGGAGTCAGACTTAACTCAGGAGCAACTAGTTTTTATGAAACAGGAGATGTTAAAAGCATCAGTGCTGTCATAGCTGGCTCTAGCGTTTGACAGGAGCACATTGATGTTAGCCTCAAAGTTAGATATTTAGGACTTTGTCGTCACTGATCCGGGCTCTAAGAGAACCCGTGATGGGCTCTGATGGAAGCTTGGCGAACTCTGAGGAGATCACTGAGTCTCCACACCTCTTTAGTACACCCCTGCCTCTCCACACTCTTTGGGCCTCTGAGAATACTCACTAGATCTCCCCTCTTCTACCCCAGCTGGCAGCCAAGGAGGCAAAACTGCGGGACCTGGAGGACTCCCTGGCCCGGGAGCGGGACACGAGCCGGCGGCTGCTGGCAGAGAAGGAGCGGGAGATGGCAGAAATGCGGGCAAGGATGCAGCAGCAGCTGGATGAGTACCAGGAGCTGCTGGACATCAAGCTGGCCCTGGATATGGAGATCCACGCCTACCGCAAGCTCCTGGAGGGCGAAGAGGAGAGGTGGGCTGGCTCACTGTTCGGAGGGTGCTGGGAGGGGCCTCACTGGCCGCCGCTGGCTTTGACCAGGTCCTCTGTTTGTCTCCTCCCCAGGCTACGCCTGTCCCCCAGCCCCACCTCCCAGCGCAGAGGCCGAGCCTCATCCCACTCCTCCCAGACACAGAGCGGGAGCAGCGTCACCAAGAAGCGCAAGCTGGAGACCACCCCGTCGCACCAGCACCACGAGAGCCGCAGCAGCTTCTCGCAGCACGCGCGCACCAGCGGACGTGTGGCTGTGGAGGAGGTGGATGAGGACGGCAAGTTTGTGCGGCTGCGCAACAAGTCCAATGAGGTAGGTCAGCGTCCGAGGGAGCTGCTGGGTTAGGACAGCACCTGGGAGGGGAAGGGATGAAGGCTGGAGGGAGGATGGTCTCTCCCCTGAGAAAGGGGGATCAGGGCGATTCTAGGTATTCTGGTCCAGGCCTGGATCCACCATTAGTTGGCTGGGAGGCTGGACAGACAGCTTCCTCATGTGTAAAATGGGAATAAATAATAGTTCTGAACTCTCTGAGTTGTTATGTGCGGTTGAGTCAGAATCGACTCATAGCAGGTTTTCAGAAGCTGTAAATTGCACAGGAGGAGATTAATCATCTTTCTCCTGCAGAGTTGTTGTGTTGTTGTTGTGTACTGTCGAGTCAGAACTGACCCATAGCCGACCTGCCAGTGTGTTTTTTTCAGAGGTAGTTAATTGCACAGGAGGAGATTGTCAGTCCTTCTCCCACAGAGCAGCCAGTGGCCTCAAACCGTGTGCCTTTGGGATTGCAGCACAGCTTCTTGCTACTTGGCCACCAGAGTAGAGAGATGAAAGATTTCACTTCAAATGTATCTGGCCCCACAGACTGTAGCTGTTATCCTGGGTGGAAGAGGGTGGCCATGTAGGTCCCTGACTGAAAGCTGAGGAGAACCTGTCTGGGCACCTGGGTGAGTCTCCTCACCTTCCTTTCCCCCTCTCTTCCTGGCAGGACCAGTCCATGGGCAATTGGCAGATCAAACGCCAAAATGGAGATGATCCCTTGATGAGCTACCGCTTTCCACCCAAGTTCACTCTGAAGGCCGGGCAGGTGGTGACGGTGAGTGGCAGGGCTAGGGACCACGTTGGACAGGGATGGCCTGGCTTGAGTATTCCAGTGCTGGAGTGAGCACCCCTTCTGTAATCCCGCCTCCCCAGATCTGGGCTGCTGGAGCTGGAGCTACCCACAACCCCCCTACCGACTTGGTGTGGAAGGCGCAGAACACCTGGGGCTGCGGGAACAGCCTGCGCACGGCGCTCATCAACTCCTCCGGGGAAGTGAGTATGCTGCCCCCTGTCGGCATCCTGCTGGAATGGCTCCCGCTGGTGGCCGCATCAGCGGGCTCTGCCAACCTGAGACAACTCATTCAGGATCACGTTGCCCCAGCTCTGTGGTGCAGTCCCAAGTCCTGACCTCCTAGCCAGTGGGCACACCAAAAGATGCCTACCTAGAATCGTGAGGGGTTGAAAGTTAGTGAGAATTGTTAAAGGCATAGTTGTACCCAGAGAGCTCAATGGGGCTCTTCTCCTTGAGGTAGAAACAAGTTTCTTGGCTCTAATACCACAGAGGACAGAGTAAGCTGTGTAGTAGACAAAGGGCAGACAGTGAGAAAGATTTCCTGGTGGTCATCGTAGTAGAAACACTGCTCTCCCCTCCCCGGGCTGACCCTTGGGCTTGGTCCGTGTCCCTGACAGGAGGTGGCCATGCGCAAGCTGGTGCGCTCAGTGACGTCCGTGGTTGATGACGACGAGGATGAGGATGGAGATGACCTGATCCATCACCACCATGTGAGTGGCAGCCGCCGCTGAGGCTGAGCCCGCACTGGGCCGCCTGGCCAGGCCTGGGCAGCCTCTCCCAGCCTTTCCATGCCAAAAAGCTTTTCATTAAAGAATAATTTTGGAACTTCACTTGCTGCCCTGGCCTTTCTTCTCCCTCCTCCCTCTACCTTGATCAGGGAACCCAGGCATCTGGGTGCCCTACTCTGGTAAGGAAGGGAGAGGGAACTTTCTCATGCCAAAGGAGTGTTCTCGTGGGAGCTGTGCCTACCGGTCCAGATTTGTGTCTTGAGAAGGGAATGGGAGGACAGACGTGGGGCACCCTGGCCCTGCCTCACTCCTCCCATTTCTTTGCATTTCCTTTTGTCTCTTCCTCATCTCTATTGCATGCATGCCCTCTTAAGTCCCCTCTTTCTCCTGCAACAATGCCCTCTCTCATTCCTGTCCCAAGCATGCCTACTGTCCCACAAGCTTATTCTATCTCTTTTTTGTCTTAAGCTTAGAATCACTGGAATAAAATCAAAGCCATATCCATGTCCCTAAGGCCTCCTGAGCAAGCTTCTCACCTCATGCATTGGGCATGTCTCCCCAGCTTCTCCCAGCCCCCTTGAGCTCTGGTTCCTGGGTTCAGAAGCGCCACCTCCCTGCCATGTTGCTGGGAGCCTGCAGGTGCTGGAGCCTGGGTGTTGGGCCTGAGTGGTCAGTCCCAGACTCGCCGTCCCGCCTGAGCCTTGTCTCCCTCCTCAGGGCTCCCATGGCAGCGGCTCGGGGGACCCTGCTGAGTACAACCTGCGCTCGCGCACCGTGCTGTGCGGGACATGCGGGCAGCCCGCCGAAAAGGCCTCAGCCAGCGGATCAGGAGCCCAGGTGGGCGGATCCATCTCCTCTGGCTCTTCTGCCTCCAGTGTCACAGTCACACGAAGCTACCGCAGCAGCATGGGGGGCAGTGGGGGTGGCAGCTTCGGGGACAACCTGGTCCCTCGCTCCTACCTCCTGGGCAACTCCAGTCCCCGAACCCAGGTGAGTTCTTCCCTTTGTCACCACAGCCCGAAGGCAGAGGGTTAGCCTGAGGAGACCTTGGGGAGGAAGAGCCTTCTCTCCAGCAGCCTGGAGGAGTGGGAGCCTCCTCTCCATAGGCCAAGGTCCTAGGCAGCCCACCCTTGCACTCTGCCCCTCCTGTCTGAGCCCCAGACTAGAGGGCAGACACAGGGCTGGAGCAGAAGTCAGAGGAAACAGTAGGGCCTGCCTTCTGGGGTAAGGGAGGGAGCAGGGACCAGCACAGCCCCTAATGCCTCTCCCCTTCTCTCTTCTCTCTTAGAATGCCCAAAACTGCAGCATCATGTAATCTGGGACCTGCCTGGGCAGGGTGTGGCGGAGGTCTCTACTGACTTCCTCCCCTCAAACCTGCCCACCGCCTCATCAGTGAGGGCTTTAAGCCAAAGAAAATTACCCTTTGGTTGTTTCTTTTTTTCTTCTGTGTTTTGATTTTTTTTCTAAGAGAAGTTATTTTCTACAGTGGTTTTATACTGAAGGAAAAAAGCCCAAGTGATAAAAAAAAAGGCATCGAAATCCAATTTTCTATCTTCCTCCTTCCTCCTTTTCCACTGACCCCAGGAAACGCCACATCTGCCTTAAAACCAAAAAGGGCTTCCTGTTGGAGCCAAGGGAAAAGGGTGCTTTTACATATTCTAGTTTTTGCTTTTGTGCCCTGGCTGCTGCCCCCACCCCGGGGACCCTATGACATGGTGCCTGAGAGGTCGGCATGGAGTCTTGTCTGCCCAAGCTCCCTCCCAGGTCGGCAGGCCCCTCTCCTGGCTGGGCCGGCTCGGAGGAGGAGGAGGGCTAAGCCAAGCCCTGGATCCAGCCTCCCATTCCACTACACCTGGCTGAGGCTCCTCTGCCTGCCCCTGTCCCCAGACCCACCCCAGTCCCCAACCCCGGGGTGAGCTGATTTTCCCTGATACCAGCTGCACTTGCTTTTCCCCCGTTTATTATTTAGACAAGAGATGGGAAGGAGGTGGGAGGTGGAAGAAGAGTTAGTTTGAATATGCCTTCTCCCAGCTTTAGAGCTGGGTGGACTCTGGGTAGTCACTGAAGGTCAGGGTCAAGTGGGGTACAGGGAGAAGGGAGAGGGAGGGCAAGCAGGATGAGAGCTGGGGCCTCACCCCAGAGGAGGAAGGTGAGAAGCGGCAGAGGGAGTGTGGCAGTGGTTTTCCCGCAAACACTAAAAAGCCCTTTGCCTCCCAATTTCCCATCTGCACCTCTCTTCTCTTCCCCCAAATCAATACACTAGTTGTTTCTATCCCTGGCTGCTGTGGTGTCTCTTTGTTGGTGGGCGTCATGATATGCGCAGAGGGACACATGCTCAAGTGTCGAATAGTTTACCTGCACCGAATAGTTTACCTGCACCGTCATGATCATCACTGCCCAGCACGGAGGAGGCAGGAGAGGATGATGCCTCAGGGCACTTCTGGTGCGAATGACAGCACTCAGCTCCAGGGGCAGCTGGGCCCAGGCCTGCAGCTGTGCGTCACCCACCCACTGTGTGTCTCTTGCTCATGGAAACCATGGAAAGAGGTAGAAACTGGATGGCAGGCTTCTCCTTCCTGACTTCCTTCATTCAGGCAGCACCTATTAAATGCCATCTACATTTGTCCTTGAGTTAACACCACAGAACAAGTCATGGTGACTTTGTAGGACAGAGTAAAACTGCCCTATAAGACTTCCAAGGAGTGTTGAATACACTGTGGACTTCCAAAAAGAATAAATCCATCTTGGAGGAAATGCAACCAGAGTGCTCCTTAGAGACAAAGATGGTGAAACTTTGCCCCACATACTTTTGTTCTTGGGTTTGTTGGTGAGAAAAAAAATTGTATTTAGAAGTAGCCAGCTGGGGAGCTCTGGTGGCCTAGTGGCAAGAAGCTGCACTGCAATCCCAGAGATATGCGGTTCAAATCCACCAGAGGCTCTGCTGAAGGAGGGGCAATCTCCTCCTGTACCAGTCAGATCCAATTTGATGGTACAGACACACAAAATAATAAAATTTAAAAAAAAATAATTAGCCAGCTGGACTCAGTTTAGATGATCTCAACATCCAAAGCATCATAGTCAGGAGCAAGTCGGACATGGGCCGCCTTCTCTCTATCAGGTGTAATCAAGGTATGGACCTTGGACAAATCATAGTGGTCAGGGGAAACTTGATGATGGTGTAGTGGTCAAGCTCAGTTCTACTGGGGGTGCTCTTCCGGGGGGTATTTGGGCTGCCTTTGGAGTCTCATCGTCTTAGGCCGCTGGAAGGTGGGTGACGTGTGGATCTTCTTTTAGTGGCTGCGGATGCCCTTCAGGACTGCCTTCTTGACCTTTAATGCCTTTGCTTTGGCTTCAGTATTGGAAGGGGCAGAAGCTTCCTTCTTCGCTGTCAGTGCCATCTTTATAGAACAGTATCTCACATACTGTGGTATGTGGTCAGGAGGTGCTAGTTCTTGGTAAAAGACACCATGCTGGGAAAGGCAGAGGGTCATCTGAAGAGAGGAAAACTTGTAAGGAGATGGATTGACACAATGACGGCATGGCTTGAGTATGGCGGGGACTGTGAGGATGGCATAGGACAGGGCAAGATTTCAATCTCTTATTCACAGGGACTCTGTCGTAGTCAAGTCAATAGCGTCTAACAACAATAATCTACGGAAGCAGACAGCCACTTTCTTCTCCCAAGGAACAGCTGATGGATTGGAATCACCAACCTTTAAGTTAACAGCCCAACACTTAACCCATTTTTCCACCAAGGTGTAACCCAGTACACCATCCTAATCTCTAAGCAGGAGTATTAACCTGGTGGTGCAGTCTGATGGTGAAGATGCCTCAGAGCTTCAAGGCCAGACCAGCAGAAAACAATCAGAACTTGAAAACCAAGTCGTGAATTGTTTCTTCATCCGACGGTGAAGAGACTCAGTACTCAGCTTGAAATTGGGAAATAAGCAAGCCAACACTGTCTTCTGGTAGTCACAGTCGGTTTGGAGTCACAATGTGCAGGCTGCCAGCAAACATCAAATGCTGACAAGGTTGTGGAGAAACTGGAACCCTTACTCACTGTTCGTGGGAGTGTAAAATGATGCAACCACTATGGAAGGCTGTAGGGCGCTTTCTCAAAAAGTTGCAAATAGAGACCATTTGACCCAGCAATTCCACTACCGGGAATTTACCCTAAAGAGACCATAACTGACATCCAAGCAGATACATGCACACCCATGTTTATCGCCACTTTGTTCACAATAGCAAGCAGTTGGAAATAACCTAAGTGCCCATCAACAAACAAATGGATAGAGATGCTGTGGTATATTCACACAATGGAATACTACGCTGCATTGAAAAACAAGGAACTCAATATTCAAAATGGGTGAACCTGGAGGACGTTATGCTGAGTGAACTATATCAGTCACAAAAGGACAAATATTGTATAGGGCCACAATTATAAAATGGGACTGACATCAGGGTTGAGGGAAGACAAAAGGAGGGGAGGAATGATGTATATTGCATTGAAAGAGATGAGGGAGAGAGTGTTTAAAAGGCACATATGAATGGGTATTCTTGTCATTACAGAAGTCCAGACTGAAGGCTGCATAGTAGATTTGGGGGTGGGAGGGATTGCATAATAATGAAAGAGTTTTTCTTTTCAAGAAGAAGAGTGAATGGGGGGTGGGGAGGGGGAAAAGTGCAACAATGAATGGAAAACCTAAAAAAAAAGTGCAGGCTGTGGCTCCCAAGGATGCCTCACTGAGGGGATGAACCCCGCTAAGGGGAAATGATTTAAAGTGGCTAGCCTTTCCCAGGCCCTTTACAATTCCCAAAGCATCTCCCACTGTCTCGTTTGAACCTCACACTATCTTTGTCCCTTCTGTGGGTGAAAAAGAAGGCCCAGAGCTAACTTACCCAAAGTCACAAAGCCGGCAAGTGGCAGACACCTTACGGTCCTGGCTGGAGACTCCTGCTCTATGGGTGACACCATGCTCCCCACCAAACAAGAAAAGACTGGATCCTGTGGAGCAGAGGAGTTGAGGCTGCAGCCAAATGTCAGAAAAGAGCACATTTGAGAGCATGGGAAAATGATTAGTAAAAGCAAAACTGATGAGAGGAGAAAGGTCTCCAAAGTCCTGCTGAGAAGCCCTGACCCATTCTTTAACCACCCCAACCCACGGGCTGGAGCAGGGATCTTTAAAGAAGGAAATCCTTTTCCAGTTCAGGGAGGACACATAAGGCTCCCAAAGCGTATGAGGTCTTAAAACCAAGAGCTATAAGAGTCTAATTCCTACTCACAGTGACGCTATAGCACAGACAACTGCCCCATAGAGTTTCCAAGGCTATAAATCTTTACAGAAGCTCACTGTCACATGTGCATGGCACCGATCACTGTCCCGTTGCGCCAGGAGCCTCTTCCATCAGGACAACAGCTTTCTAAGCAAAGGCGTTCGCGTACACTTTCCCATCGGGCCACCTGGGGGCGCCAGAGCCCCACTGAGACGGCGAGTGTGTCCTGGGTGCGTCTGCGTGGACGTGGGAGGCTGCGCGGGCACTGTGGCCTCGGGGACACCAGGATGAGCAGGTGGGGGCCGCTGCACTAGAAGGCGGAGGGGGATAAAGCAAATACATAAACGTTGCAGCTAACTAGCCAACAGGTAGAATGAGTAGCACAGTCCTGCACAGCGGGGCACATTACCTTACATGAAGATCACAACACCCCTCATGTCATTTTAAATTTTTTCTTTTTTGTTTTTTAGGTAAAATTATAACCTGTTGTTGTAATGCACCATCAAATTGACCTCACCTCATATGGAACTTATGAATAATAGATCTGAACCCTGCCCCATCCTATCCAGCCTCACATTTCCAATACCATGAGCCCATTGTTACAGTCACTATGTCAATCCATCTCTTTGAGTCTTCCTCTCCTTCTTTGACCCTCTACCTTTGATAACATAATATCTTTTTCTAAGGACTTTTTCTAAGCCCCTCCTGACAACATGCCGAAAGTATGTAAGACCACCCTGGTTGCACTTCCCTCTAAAACAGATTTGTAATCCACACTCTGTAGTAAAATTGAAAACACAGATAAATTTAAAGTAGAAAAAAGGATCCATATTTAGTTCTTGGGAGGCAACCATCCATGACTTTCCTTCCAGATTTTTTTTCTCTAAGCCTGTATGTTACTTAGTTTGTATCTCAACTGTTTCAATTCTGCTTTTTCAGTTAACATGCATAAGCACTTTCCAAAGTTATTTCAAGGCTTGTAAATAGTATTTTTAGAAATAACATCTAAGAGTACCTGGTCATGAAACATAAATATATCATACAACAGCTCCCTTCATTGACAATAAAATGAACACACAGATTGCCTCAAAATTCCTATAGCAGTCAGACTGCAAAGAGCAGGATTCGGTCCAGCAGTGTCAGCCGCTCCATGGGTGTAAGTTACATCCATGCAAGATGATCAAGCCATACACACAAGACACTCATAAAAGGTTGGCAAATAAAAACGACTGTAATTACTCA